CTACCGACAGACAGACACACAGACAGACAGACAGACAGATCGTAAATGTAACTCAATCCCCATTGATGATTGTTGCGTAACTTGTTTCCACTCGATGCTGCAGTTGCAGTTGCAATTAGCTTTCAATCTCCCAGCTTTGCTTGGGTCGATCGGTTCGTTCTGCTCTTTTGCTCATCGATGCTGAGCTGCTGGGCTGCTGGGTCCTTCGCTAATTGACAATATTTATGAACACGTACGCATTTTATCGCCCCCAGTCCCGTAATTGGGAACGAGCGCCGTCGTCGCCCACAGCTGCTGCCGCTGCTGCTGCTGCTGCTGCTGGGCCAATTATTTTCATCAAAATTGTTGACAGTCTTCAACGTGCCACAATGAAGAGATCTGCGCGATCTTAGCGATCTCCCAGTGCCCGTGCCCCCAACTCCTTCGCTCCGTACCACGTTTTGGTTATACGAATGCCAAACTGTGCCATAAATTGTCACTAGATGAGAGATCTCTCTGGATTCTATGGGGCGGCAGCAGGTCTTGACTTGCACTGCGCTGCCCACTGTTCACCGTTTGCCGTTTTCTCAGTTTTGCTGTTTAATTAAATTTACTTTAATTGCACATAAAAGCATTCTTTGTGCTTTTTTTTTCGTATTCAAACAAGTTCCATTTTGTGTGTGTTCGAGCACAAAAAGTAGTTTCTGCTGGTTGACAGACGTCGAAGTGCTTCCAGCCAGATGATAGACATTAACCTCTGGGGCGAGAACTCTGTGTGCGTCACATGGGACACATTTACGTAAAGAATAGAATCCCCATTATATTCTTAATGGCAAGTGACAAATGTGAGATATGTTTATGGTGGAATAAACAGAAAAATGTGCTCCTAACGAAACGAATATGAGGTACCTAGAACGAAAACGGGTGCGAAGTAATAATCATAATCATATGAGAAAAACTTCGATTAGTTCCACCAAGAAGTTTGGGTAATGAAAGGTGCATACATCTGTGTTCTAAATTATGAAGTATTGGTATAATCAGGCATATATTTTCCTGTTATATAAAATAGCCAGGGGTTTGGGTGTGCTACTCTTGGGATCCCATTCGAACGCTGTGCGCCTCAACCAAATATAATGGCAATGGCTTGTTCCCAATTGCTTAAATACCCATTTGTATCTCTTGGCTGTTCGGTTTTAGATTCTTTTGAAAGCAGATTTCCTTGGTCTTGATTACTTAGAAGGGAAGGCACCTTAAAGTTTGACCCTAATTGAGTTGAATACTCGCACAAATAAACTCCAACTCGCAGATTGATTTCTGTCCAACACGGAGATTGATCTACGAGAGGGATTCAAAGTAGAGCGGGGCTTCCGTTTAATTTTGTTAAGCCCAGAAACCCACCAAGTACATTTCGTTTGAAATTCAATTAAAGAATCCAGTCGTATGACCTTCCATATGCAACTTCACGATCGTTCTCCTAACTCTTTTTTTTTGGGAGGGGGCCATAAAGTCAGAGCTACTGGATGGGCCATGCATAAACAGTTTTATTCGTTTCTGGTCTTTGTACTCAACAATAATGTAGGGGTTTGTGTGCATTGGATAAACGAAAATTGAAATTATAAAACAATTAAAGGCGGTCAACGTCAACGGCAACTTGTACGAGTGCGCTCCGCTCGTATGAATGTAGGGAATGGCTAATTAAATGTAATTAATTTTCACATGCCTCAAAATTAAATGCATTTAAATCAAAGAGAGCCGAGAGAGTGCGAGCTTTATATACGAGTATACTATAGCGTATGCTTTAATAGCCCCCGACGACTGACTCTTAAAAGTGATTTAAAAAGTTTCATTAAGATAAACAGCAACAACCACAAAGTGTTATAGCAATTTAAATTTTAATTTAAGCTCACAGTGGCTGGCTGGCTATGACAACAGGTGAATAAACCATGGGTCAGAAAAAAAAAAACTAAACTACAGAGAAAAGATCAGGCTAAAAAATAACATCTTGGGGCCATTTACCGTTGCGCCCTCGAGGCGTGGCCGACTATCTGTGGTTTCATTTTATTTTCGAGGGCATCCTCCTCTCTCCAACAACATATTAATGGCCCGACCAACCATTTCAGACAAACAAATTGTCGGCTACTGTCGGATGCCATGGGATCCCATGTCTCTCCCCTTTTTTGAGGTTGGCTTGGCTTTCTCGCTCGTAACAAGAGATCTTCCAACAAGAAACCAAGCCGAAATTCAAGGGAAAAAATGGCGTTTAACTGTAACTCGCGCAATGTGAAACATTTTCGGGTCAGGTGCACAGGCCCCAGACTCCCCAGAGATTTCACCAACCTGTGTCCCAGACAACGCCCCAAAAGTTTTTTTTTTGGCTTTGGTTTCTGTTCGTTGGGTCCATTATCTTACGGTAATATCACTCATAAAGCGTTGTCTGTTTGCGGCTGCTGGTGCGCCACCATCACACATCAACATCTCCATGATTCATGATCATCGTCCGCCGGTCAACCTTCGCGATCTCTAGCGAACAAGTACAACATATAGCAACTTCAGCTCGTTATGGTTTCCTCTACACACACGTACGAGTATCTCCCTCTTTTCATTATTTTTTGGTGCTTTTGGTGTTACTTTTTCGTTTGGCTCTTGCGCAGATTTATGTTCGAGTTGTTCATTTTGATTGGTAAGCTCTTGTTGAGGTGTTTTTCATTTATTTGTTCGTTTATTTTGCCTTTTGTGTATGTATTTCTTTGAGGTTTATTGCAAGACATTTATTTTGGTGTCTCGTTGTCTTTGGTTTCGGCTGCAATTTCCGGTTAAGCAGCACATTCCAGTCGGCCATTTTGCAGCCGAATGAGAGGTAGGAAGCTTTTAAGAAGTATCTTTTGTTTGAGTTATAGATATTTTTTTACGGATAAGGCACTTTGTTTTAAGAGAGCTCTAAAAATTTACCATTTAAAATCAATTTTCAAAAACTTAAAGCTGTCGAAAGGACACTAGGATCTACTATATCCGTGTTATACCATACTCTATATTTATAATTAGAATTTGAAGTATCCCTACAATATCTAAAAATTATAAACGCCCAAAAAGTCATGCACATTATTAGGAAAATGTATCATCCCACAACAACGTTATCTGTCATATGAAACATTTACCACTTAGTAAGACGAGAACCGTTCCAACCGCACCACAAAGCCCCATGCCATAATGCACTCGTAATGCGACTCGTGCCCCCGCTCAGAGGAGGGGAAGGGAGGGATGGAGGGGGCCAGGTTGGGAGCAGAGGATTACGGGAGCGAGGCCTTAAAACGCGCGTTAATTAGCCGTACGTGAGGAGTGCGTTTGTCAAGCGGTTAAATGGGCAACGACTGCTACCCTCCGCTCTGCGCGGTTCAGAAATTTTATCAAAAAACTCAAATCAGTTACAGCAAAAGCTCACCTGCAACAATGACAAGTGTTGATGACGATGAACGATGAACGAGGTATGGGGTCCGAGATAATCGTACGCCGTACGTGGACGTGGACGTGGACGGGGAGTGACGAGACAGAGACCCAACTGTGTGTGTGGAGGTCTGACTTGACCCGTGTCCACCATTCGTTAAGCTTGGCTATAAAACAAAATGAAAAATGTTGTTGCAAAACAAAAAACAAACTGAAAAAAAAAAAAGAAAAAACACAGACTCTGAAACACTTGTATCCCATCAAGTACTGGGGAGGAATGGGGGTTAAGTGGAGGGCATCGAAGGAGCTGCTCTATTAGATTTAAACGTAATGATTAAACCACAGTCAGACAGAGACTCCAGTGCAAGTGCAATCAATTCTGGAAAAGTTCCAGAGCTCTGACCCCAGGCAATCCATTATCCTTGACCTTTCGTTTATTTACACGATTGTTCTGTTCTGTCCGTGGCATGTACGGGATTTACATATTTCACAGTTCTCTTTAGCTACGAGTACGCGTACCAATTAAAAGCAATGCTGGAGATTGTTGAAGCATAGGAATTTTTATGGGCTATGAGGTCAGGGAAACAACCACAAAACAGAAAGGGGATCGGGAAGAATGTTTAGGAGTCAGTGTGATTTTGCTTGAAGAACATACCGTATAGCCTGGGTTGTGATTTCTTGTTTTCTATGCCATAGGCCGTGGGATACTCATAGATTCCTGGAAAAGATAAGTAGATAGATTATTAAAACTATTATTGTACTGAATATATTTCAATAATACTCTTTCTGTTCCAGTTCTTGCATTCCGAAGTCACCAATCCAGTCCAGTTCTTTATAAATTACAGCCACTCCTAAAATTATGCCACCAATAAACGCAAACCCATTTAGCCAAGCTAACACCCGAATGGAAGAATACTACGATATCTAAATTCTTTTCAAATGAATTGCTTTACTTTAACTTGTTTTTTTTTTGTTTAACACAAGAGCACGTACAGTTACGGGTATTACTGTAATGTTATTTATAAACTTCATTTAATTTACGCTTAAATTCTACCAAATATTTACAAATATCATTCGTGTGTAAGTGGGATTGTGTTTATCAGTGTGTTTGTTTGAGTGTAGATCCGTCTAAGTACTAGATTAATTGTGAGTTTCGTAAGTTTCTCAAGCCAAACATTTAGTAAAATGATGAAAAATATTTGCAGCATTTGATGAATAATTTGTTTCGTTGGATCGTTTTCGATCTGATCGATTTCTTATACCATGGGCTAAAAGCGAGTGCGAAGGCTTTATCCTTGTACATATATATGGAAGGAACAATGGACGACATTATCTCACAGTTATGCGTGTTGTGTGTGCTCATGTTGTGTTCGAGTGTCTGTGTGTCTGTTTGATTGCTTCAGTTTGTATATGTATGTATATCATTATTCTTTCAGTGGCAACATAAATGCAAAACGTAACACTTTCAACACTTTTCGTGCTGTAACAAATTTCCCTTTACGGCTAAATGCTAAACAACATTAACTACCAAAAAACACATCAACTGCTAAAACGCTAAACAAAAATTCGTTTCACAATTATTCTTCTTCAAATATGTTTGGTATTTGTTTGCTTTTTTTTTTTGGCTAAGATTTCTGCGATTTCGATTACAGTGGGTGCAAAATACTATGGCATTGTGTTTAGAGATCCATTCAGTTAGCAATTCCACACAAAATTGATATAGAAATGGATTTCCTTCAACATCTTCGCTTTCTGTTGATAGCTTTAGATAGATTTCTTTTGCTTTCTACTACTAGGTTTAGTTAATTAGTTGCTTCCAACTCTGGACAAGACACACATTCAGCAAATTTGCTCACATACGAGTATCATCGGTAACTTTGACTAAAACTCAGCTAAGTAGATGGAGAGAGTGGGTGCATAGAAAACTATTTACAAAGTGCGTGTTTGTGTGTGGCTGCTAATCAATCTCTACTTTTGAGAAGCCTAGTCATCTGTGTGCGGATGTGGATGATGATACTGCTGCTGTTGATATTGATAGTGATGCTGCATCGATGTGCCTGCCTGGCTCGATGTCGATGTGGGTGCTGTCGTTGTAGATACGTTTGCTGTTGCAGGCTTGATCGCAGGTTGGAGATCCTCAATTTGAATCAATTGTTCGATGGGTATAAGAGAGAGTTCACCTCCCACTGCCTGGGGAATCGGCAGCTTAGCCAGAGCCTACAGTTAGTTGGTTAGTCGGTTAGTTAGTTAGTGATTAGTTTCAGTGTAGTTGCGTTAGCTTAGTTTGTCCTACCTTGGCATGCTCTACGGCTATGGTGGCTGCCTTTTCAGCCTCCCTTTGTCTTCGTTCCTTCAGTTTTAGCGAGAATATAGCCACAGATCTCGCACTTTTCACCAGCTTTTGCTTGAGGCGCGATTTCTTGGCCGCCAATTCAGCGGCTAGAAAGCAACAAAAATCAAGAGACTATAAATTAAAGATCCAAATCAATTTATCTTCATTGAACATACCCTTGGCTTCATCATCTACAGCGCCCGCTGATGTGGAGGCTGCGGCTGCCTCTTCTTTTTCCTTCTCCTTCTCTCTTTCCTTCTCCTTTTCCCTTTCCTTCTCCTTTTGCTTCTCCTTTTCTTTCTCCTCTTTTCTCTCCTTTTCTTTCTCCTCTTTCCTCTCCTTTTCTCGCTCCTTCTCCTCCTTCTTTTCTCTCTCCTTCTCCTCCTTTTCCAGTTTCTTCTGCTGCTTATGGGATGAGCTGGATGAGGAATTTGATAGGGCACCCACACTGGGCCTTGACTGGGAATTGCTGATGCTGCCCGCGGCTCCACCAGGTCCGGGCCCACTGGGACTGAAAACGCTGCCACCGCCGCCCGACGATGAGGAGGATGATGCCACTATATGCTGTTGTTGCTGCGAGGCTGGTGGGGTGGCCAACATACTGCCAGGAGCTCCCGTCTTCAGGGCCACATTGCTCCAGGATGGGGCGGGCTTTAAAACATCCGAGGTTTCGGCATTGTTTCCTAGTTCCTTTAGGTGAAGGATGACAGATGGTGCTTGTTATTATCTTGCTTGGGATTTCAAAGGATATACTATATTTTGCTCTAGAACTACACACATTGAAAGCGTTAGAAAGGAATAGGCTATGAGAGGATTGGTTGTATGGTGTAAGAAGTCCATGCCATTTGTTAGTGGGGTGGGTGAATGGATGAGAGGCCGGCATTGGTGTTTCAGTGTAAGAAAGCTGAATTCATGCCCAATTAAATTTGGTTAAACATATTTTCTGTTTCCCAAAACGATATCAAACACGGGTACAACGGGCTATGTATGTATTACATATGAATGTATCTACTGCAATTATCCAGCAAGTTCCAAGGAAACAACATCAAAAACACACACAGTTACACATCGAATAACAAACACATTCTGCTTATAAAGTAAATTTATCTGATTTTGGTTATAATATTATTATATATTATACGTATTTGTATTTGTATCTCTGCACTACCTTGGCAATACAATCTATGCTTCTATGCAGATTCGGATTGTCGTTGACTTTTAAGCGTGACATCCATTCGGGTGCATGGAGTTTTATGTGTAGCTTGTCCTTTAAACGGCAAAAGTCGAGCGGGGGGAGGGTTAAGTTAGAGTGAGTACGTTTTTGGGTTAGTAGTGGGGATGTACTTGCTGGGTTTTGTGAATACAACTTCGGGAGGGGCTCAGTTACACTAGATCAAGGGTGTGCTATCACATTCTTAAGCGTTTTCTATGGCGCATTGAGCATTGAGGCTGTGGTACTATCTATATCTATCATCCTGAATATCTATTATCCTTTTTGGAACTGAAAGCAATTCTATTCAGTTTAAACGTAGTAGTTTTAATCATTTCGAGCACTAATCTTTGACTTTTTTCTTGTAGGTCTGTAATCCAGATAACTGGGAATTTGAATTGGAGATAACCATCTAATTCTATTATAATTTATCTTCACCAAAATAATAGATTTCTTTTATATTCAAATATGATTCCATTCAAGATCTAACACTTTTTTAATATCTCTACTGGTAGATCTATGTTTTCAACGCTGACAAGTTGATTGAGAAATTCTATGACCCGAAAATAGTAACTAAATTGTTGGTTTAGCAGACTTAATGTTGTTATATTAATCACAGGTTGGTTAATAGTTGTTGGATTATTAAAGTGATCACAGGTATCGAGGTTTTTTTCAGTAAATGCAACAGTCTACAAACACAGATAGTACATTGAGCAGCTACAGACCGACACAGTCGACGGCTGTCTAAGGATACTCATGTGAATGGGTAGTAGAAGGAGAGTCTATAGAGTCTTCCTCAAGATCTTACACTCATGTTCAAATGCGTGGCACTCTCCGCAGATATTTTGCGCGTCTTAAACGGTGGTATCTCCGAGATCCTCTGTTGATGTTGCTGCTGCAGTTGTTGTTGTGGTTGATATTGCGCTGATAGTTGCCGCATCGTGGCACGCTGCGGACTGCTGCTGTTGCTGCTGCCAGTATGATCGGCAGAGTCGCTAGATTTCTTACGGAACGGCGGTATTTCTGGCAAATGCATTGGTTGCATCCGGGCTGCATACGCGGCGGAGTTCAGGGCTAGCGTGCTGGCGGAAGCTCTGTGTGCCATGAAAAAAGCGAAGATATAAAATGTGTAAGAAAAAGAGTACAAAGAGAGGGAAAATAATTATAAGCTTGATATTAGTAAAGAATATTTAAATTCTCTATAACCAACATTTATATGGGGTAAAAGCAGCTTTGCCAATTTCGAGAGTTTTGCATCACAATAAATTTTGAGGGCTTGGGAAAGGCATTAAACACAGCTAAACACACACAGAGAAAAAGAAGCACATCTGTTACAGATTTTAGTTTGATTTTACAGTTTATTTTTTTTATTAATATTATATCTGAGAATGTGTTCCATTGATCAAACTAAAACCTTTAACAGATCCATGAAATTACAGCATTAATCACAGTTTCCTTATGTAATTTTTTTTTTAAACACAACTATTTTTCTAGCCAGCCATCCAAAATTTACCCGATTTGTTGCTGTTGTTTGGTCAATACGCTTAGATTTCGAACAGAATATCCAAGAAATGGTGGTATTTCCGGTATAAAGTGCTGAGATTTTCTAACACAACTTTTACAAGCTCTAAGGAATTATTTTATCAGAAATAATGCAGAATTAGTGAGTAAAAAATATAAAGAAAATAAATTTATAGTGAAGATTTTAGGAAACTTAAAGTAGTTCTTGAGAACATTTTTGTGCATGTTTTTCGAGCTGAAAGGTCAATTGGTGGCCATTAGAGGTTGCCCCAGCGCCGTGGCGTGTGCAGAATACTTACGATTTAAAGACCCACAAGCCATTTTTATTATTATTAATATTATAATGATGAGGCACTTACCCTCCATTCCCATCATGATGCAGACTGGATAGGGAGGCGCCTCCATGCGGTGGTGTCGACTCGTGCAGCGGTCTAATGAGTATGGTGCTGGTCTATAAAATGGTAAACCAAACATATATTTATAAAGTTACATGTGAAAGAGAGAAATTTTATTCGGTCACGAACCTGGGAGGGTGGGGAATCCGGCGATGAATCACGGTTCTCATAAATATTGACATCCGCCTCGATGTTGCGCCCATAACCGGAGGCCGAGAACTCGTGGCCATAGAGCAGCAAATCCTCGGCCACCTGACTCTCCATGGACTGATCGTGTGTGGTGTTGGCGCCGCTCTCCATTTGCAACATCCCGCCGGAGCCGTCATGTTCCGGTTGCGTAGAGGTGGTCGATTGCGGTGTCGGCGGGGTGGGACGTGGTGAGGTGCCCTTGCATTGCATTTCCCGTCGGCAATGCTCGGCTCGGGCTATTTCCGCTGCCAGCCAGGAAGGCAACTCGGGCAACAGCCAGGTGAGTGCCTGCCGCAGACCCAACATGATGTGCTATGGAATATTTAGAATGTGAAAGCATCTGAAATGCATAGGCGTACTCCATTAATATTACTCACTTCGAGGGTAACAATCAGTATAATTGTCTGAGCTGTGGTTAGTCCTGGCCATAGCCTCGACACCTGACCAGAGAGCCCAATCAGAGCACAATTCACAATGACCGCTGCCAGGGAGAGAATACTCAAAGCATTCTGCCAGGTGCCAATATTTGCCACACGCTGTCCAAACGGACGCTGATGCACATGTGCAAGCTTAAACGCATCCGACCGTATCTCCATGAGGTTGTTAATCAGAGCACAGATGCCGGCCAAGGGAAAAGCAGCCGAAAAGAGCACCACATAACCCATCTGCACCAGCATCTCGAGATGATCGGAAAAGGTGCCATCGTACTAAAAAGACAGATAGAGAAATCAGTAGATTTCAGTAAGCTGAAGCAACCGAACACAACCGACTTACTTTATACAACGAACTCTCAATCTCGGCCTGACCAATATTCCTTTTACTTGCTTCTTGGCTTTGCTGATGGCTTTTTGTGGGCGTGCCAGCTGCCTCGGCCTTAAGCTCGGCCTCGGCTGTGGCCAATTCCTCGGCCAGACTCCGTGTCACATTCTGCGTGGGACTCAAGGCACCCCACATGTTGAAGCTCAATTTGGCCAATTTCCATTGCTCCACGAAATAGGGAATGGCCGATTCCCGTAGATTTCCAATTATTTGACGCGAGATGAGTAGACCAGCCAGTTGCTAAAGAAAAATATAAAGAATGTTAGAAGAGTTCCGCAAAAACTATAGGATATTTCTTACCTCTTTGAGCTTCTCTTCATCTCGCAAATAGAAGGCTATATAGAAGAGCGATAGAAAGGAGTTGACAAACTGGAAGAGCGCCACTTTGGCTATCAAATGATTCTCATATTTCGATTGCAGGCGATAGTTTTCTGTGTACAAAATAGTTACATTATAAAAGGTTTAAGAAGCATCAATAAAATATATAGTGTACCCTTATCATTCAGCCACACAGCCAGCTTAAAGTAAGCCTCATCCATGAGGGTAATGGCTCCTGCCAAAAGAACCTTGGGTATGACACTGAGACAGCACAGGACACTATCCTCCGGCAGCTTGGAGTCCCACCAGTCCTACGATGGAGAAATGTAGTAATACAGAAAATTAATATATTTCCTACAAATAAGATTAACTGGCACACAAATAGGGAAAACATCAATATCAATCATCATAAGTTGAAGCCCACGCCTTTCTCTCTCTCTCTCTTACTTGCCACCTACTTTCCCCCAACAATTTCCGTTTTTCCAAGTATACTTTTATCTTAATTAACCTGCAATTATTATTCATTCCCACACTTCCCTTTCTACTGTTAGTGGAATAGCATATTGAATGTTTACGCAGCTAATTTAATTACATTACAAGCTACTTCCGTGTATTCACCAGGCGGCTTTCCGATTATTTTGTGGTTTCCTTCTGTACTACCTACAAAGTTGCCCCCTGAAACTCTCAAGTGTCTGCTGGAAACCACTCAAAATTACACTTTGGTGGCGTTAAAAGACAGTAATAATCCGTATTGTAGCCATTGTTGGTGCATAAAACAAAGGAGCATGCTCTTTTCGTTATTTAAGTACATATATACTCTTATAAATTATGTATATTAGTGGTATATTTTCAGTGAATGCTTCTGTGTAAGTATTTCTTTAGTTGCAATGCATAAATTTCCTCTTAATAAGCTTCGCGTTCGCCAAGGTAATTTATTTCCTTCCTTTGGTAGTTTTCTAATTTCATAATTTGTCAGATGAGTGCAATATGCTTCAATGGATTTTAATTAGGTACCCGATGAGAGTGTGCTATAAAGTAGCCACCATTAAACTGCACCAATCTCTCATAGCCCATGCGACATACACACATTGTGGTCCTTTTATGCCTTACACATCCTGCAGCTAAACCACTAAACCTGGTGGAAATTCCGCCCAACGTTAACCAAAACTTCTACCAGCACCTAGTTTTCCCCCACTGACCTGCTCTTGACAGGCGCCACACACACACAGGAACCTCGCCTTCGCCATGCTTCATTACGGCCCCACTTTAGTGCTCGGCTGAGCAGTAAAAAAGAGAAATGAGAGTAGAACCCAAAAAGCCATTGTCCCCGTGGTTCCAGGTACGCATTAATCCACATGAACTTCCACCAAACAACCGACAGCAGCCAAACAACAGCCAACAACAATGTCAACTGTCCAGCTGGCGGAGTGGAGCAAAGGTGTACAGGCTCTTTAACACTCCTGATGAGTGGAAGAGGTGATAGTTTATAAAATTGAGTTCTCTTTGTCGCCATCTTATTGGAAAAGTGTATTTTACACTAGAGTTGATACAATGAGTGCTACTTTTATACTAGACTAAAAGAAGAAAGACTTGGTAGCGACTCAAACAAAAACTGCTATTAAATAGATTTTTTCACAATTGTATCTATTTTTATAGACAGTTTTTATTGAAAAGATAATTGATGCTAAAATGCTACTATTCTTTCTAGCTTCTGAGTATAACAATGTTATTTAAGTGTTTTAAAATAGTATTCGTTGGAAGTATTCGTTAAAGTGGCTTGTTAAGCAAGTTTGTAGTATCCATAAACTTTATTGATCTTATGAGAGCATTTTATCTGAATCGGAAGCACTCAATGAAAATTTACAGCATCATAAAGTGAAGTTTTCTATAGCATATTTGCATACATCAAAAGTAATAGTTTTTGTTCTGCTCAAAGAAAAGTAATGGCTTCATAGAGTCAATATTCATAGAGTTTAATGAATCCCTGGATATTTCTTAGTTAATTTCCCCCAGCACCTATCAAAATTCATCTATCCTGATATCCCCCAAAAGACTGGTCCCAGTTAACACTTGAAGGTCATAGTTTGTGACTGCCGGTCAGAGCACAAAAAGTTCCGGTGTATAATGGTTTGTCCCCTTAATCTTATCATAACACGACATGTCCCTCTGCAGAGCCAAGCAAAGTTGACAAATTAAAGTTCAATTCCCAGTAGATTCAATGTTGCCCGACAATTAACACATGAAGGTCACAGACAGCTGACGGCATCAGGAGATGGGAGCCACAATTGTGCGTCCTGGCAATGGGAAACCGGAGACCCCTCCTTTATTCACATCATTGTGTCTGCTATTATATTTCCGCCCACAAGAAAAGCTGGACATGTACTGGACTGGGTTCTGGACATTCAATTATGCGTTGGATTGTTTAATGTCAACCAAAGTTTTTTCTATCATGCTCTCTCTCTCTGTCCCAACTGTATCTCATTCTATATCTTTCTGTGGCTGCCCGAAGGCGGTTTTCTTTTCGCCAGCTGGGAATTTTAATTAACGTCATTCCTTGCTGATGGGGGAAAAAAGAAAAGAAAATGCGTATGGAAAATAATGGCCCCCACAGCCATCGACCATGGTGTGTGCATACCCGTACATATGTGTGGTTAAAGTTTTAATTGAAACGAAAAAATGCTTGGTAAACGGTTTGCCAGGAATGGGGCGTTGGGCGGTTGGGGGAACCCAAATGTGTGGATGGGGGGGAAACTGTTTTGATGGATGGTAGAAATAAGAAAACATTTATCTAGCGGTGAACCACTACAATAACAGATGCCGATGGGAAACTACAGTTTACAATGGAAGCCTACCGAATGGTAGGTTGATTGGTTACCATCGTTTATATCGAACAGTGGCTTGTGAATGGGATGATAAAGTGGGTCAAACTTTCAGTATTTATAGTATATATTTGTGTGCCCTAAAACATATCAATAAAAAAACTCGTGTTATGATATCCCTAGCCAAAAAAATAGACCCAAAACGAATATAAAATATGGTCGTAGCTGGACTTTTTCCCTCAAGCCTTCCATTATGCTAATGCAACAATGACAATGACAACTAACTACGACGAAAACATAGACAGCTTACAGACATTGATTAATTATAAGTAGATTGCAAGTTAGAAATGAATAAGAACCTTGTGCAAATTATACATGCATTGAGCAACTCCTTTATCGGGTATTTTATGGTGATCCAGCCAATCCTGTGAAGTAAAGAAAGAAACCGAAACGGAAAAGTCCAAAGGAAAATATACAGATACTCGTATGTAAAAACAATTCAATGAGGCGTGATGAGTGATAAACGTATTTATTTCACTGCTTCTTTAGCCGTATTCGTTGCAAAGAAAGACGTACTAAAAAGAAGAGAAGGAAACCGAAAGAAAAATAAAGAAAAACAGAAAACAACAAGAAAATAAAAGTGTGCGCGCATAAAATGTCAATGCAATAACAGAAGCAGCAACATCCAACAGCGGAAGCGGAAGCCAGCAAAATGTGAGAGTGTATGTGTGTGTGTGTGTGTGAAACTTAAGGTATCGGTGTGTGTGTGCCTTTTGTTGTTGCTGTTGTGTATCGTGTCTGTGTAAGTGCTCGTAAAGGCGTGAGGAACAAGCGCTACTACAACAACAGGCAAGCGACTAACCAAAATGTTAACGCAAATTGATAAACAGGCGATACTCGTACACGCACAAGAACACAAACACACTTGTGCACACACTCGCACAAATTTGAGGCGCCCCTAACGTGAAAACAATATTAATTATACGCACTGTGCAACACTCGTGCAAATTGGGCCCCAGCACAGCCGAGCGCAAGGGCGATTGAGGGCGGGCGTGCGTGCGTGATCGAAACGTGCTTCGAAATACCCTTGCAAATAAAGCTTTATGGGTTCGTGAAGCACTGTAAATGGATTTCCATAACCCATAAAAATATGATTACATAATAATGATATTCTACTTCATTTTTGAAGGACTTTAAGCAGTGGAGCGTTGAATTTTGGTGCAATTCGATATGGTTTGTTTGAATTTTGGTTGTAAAACCGATTTTGATGAAGTGAGAAATTGCTTTTAGTATGCAATAATGAAAATTTAAACATTTTTAGAGTTTAACTACCAAATATGATATAAATATAAGAATGATATTGTGGCATATGTCTTTGATGGGGTTTTCAAATTTATACACAAATTATGAAGATATTTAAACGGATTTAATGAATTCAGAAGACAGAAAACTCTAACTGTGGCTTTCGTCACAGAAGCATTCCAAATCATTCTATATCTTTCAAAAGCGTACAAAACACAAAGAAACCTTGTTAAACATTTGCAAGGGTATTTGAGAAACTATTTTACACGCACACACACAGCACACATGGAATTAAAACTTTCGTAAAACTAAGAATTCCCATCTCACCTGAAAGCGCAACATGAGAAACATCACAGCAAAGACCATACAGAGACAGCATCCTATGATGGGGAAGCTAACCAGATAGCGAAAGGCGCGACGTTGCCAGGCGGGCGCCTCTTTGGGCTCTAGGCGACCTGTGACATTGTTCTCCTCCAAGGGGCCCTACAAAATGATAATAAAATTTGTAATTATTTAGCAAATAGTTTAGTATACTATTAGTCTAGGTAAACGCACCTTATAGAGAGGCCTAGGTGGCTCGAGTAACTCGGGGGGAGTTGATAGAGTGCCCCAGCGAAAGGCCAACTCCACAGAGTACCTCTTCCAGGCCTCCAGATACAGTGAGGCCCAGGCCACATTGAACAGAGAGAAGAGCACGTGACCCATGTCCTGGGCGGTCTGACCTTTGCCCCAGAGAATGCAGTAAAGAATTGTGCCAAAAACAGCCGGTACACCCAAGGCGCAGGTGTAATGACCCAACCAGGCAAAGTACAGGGCAACCTTCACCCCAAAATAAGCAGCAATGTCATCTAGAAGAAGAATAAGAGTTTGATTTTGATTTATTACAGGAGAATCAACCATAGGACTCACCCAAAGGTTGCGGTGCAAATATCTGCTTGACCCAGTGGGTCTGAAGCTGTGTCAAGGAACGTGGTTCGTGCAGCGGAAAGACCTGTGTAATTAGACCCGACTCCTGCCAGGCGGCAACAATGCTCTGGCCCTCGGCCACGGCTGCCCGTCCGTGCAGTGCATCGATGTCACTGCAGCCGGCACGCAGGCCCTGCAGCACCTGCAACACCAGCCACTGACGCTCCTGGGAGGTGAACAGCGCGGTGCTGGCCACATCACCCCTCAACTGCTGGAAGCAATGGCTCTCGCGGGTAGTAAACTCCCTCAGGGCACCGCCCAGATCCGGACGCAGACGCTTGGGCAGGCGGGCCTCTTCGGCGGCTTTAAAAAGACTGTAAACAAAAAAAAAAGGATTATTAAATATTCTACACAAAACTCGACATGAAAAATGCATAAAATATAAATATTGAAATTTGCATTTCGCACGTTGAATAAACTGCAAAACCAAAAGCTTTCAATTTACATCTAGCCACCGCGTGGTGTTGCTGCCACTTACACATTCACGGGGGCGCTGACATAGAAGGCATTCCGTCGCGTGCTCTCATGCGCCTTGACCTGTACCAGGAGGCCCAGACCCGCAGGCGGTTGGGAGCGTATGCGGGCCAGAAGCCATCGCAGTGCCTCGTCCGGGGCATCCTCGGGAAATTCAATGACCACGTCACATTGTGTTGGGATTTTATTCAGCCAGAGCCGGCGCGGCGTCATCAAATGACCAGCGTACGGCACTTTGCGGCGTATATGGCGGGAAGCTGCAAGAAAGCGTAAAAAAAGAAACCATTAAAATAAAACGTTAAGGACTTGCTAGGATTTCTGTTTAAATCTCTGATTCCGCTTTAAAACCAACAGAGAAAATCTGTTCTCATGTTACCCCCCAACCATTTTTAGTTTATTTTTCCATTTCCATTTTAAGTTTAATGCATATTTATAGTCTGCTGCCGACAGCGTAAAAAAATCTGACAACAAAGTGGGTGGACCAAAGGAATTGGCGTCAATAAAAAACGCTTTTAGGACAGGTAGAAAAAAGAGAGAGAAAAAAGCGATAAGCGCATCAAAAACAAACAAATATGATATTCGGTAGTGGGTAGTTTGAAAGGTTTTGTATACCCGATACTCCAAATAGCTATAATCCCTAGAATTATCTAGATATCCCAAGATATATCGAAATATCCCTAGGACTATCCATAGAACTCTCCGGACAAAGCTTTCCCCTCCAACTTTTCGAACAATCTCTAGAAATATCCCTGAAAGAACTACCCCTAGAACTTTCCTTCAATTTCAAAATAGTTGTTCTTGTTCGTTAAAAAAAAAACATACTCCAAAATTTCAGTAAAAAAACAAAAAAAAAAAAACTACTAAGTAATCTGAAATAGTTCTGATCCCTAGATCCTTAGATTATGTTCTCTCCAAAGAAAGTTGATGGCCGTTGGGCATCCTCCCCCAAGGAAAGCGACGACGCGAGCATGCAACATCGACAATCGAAGCCGGGGAGTTGGAAAGGCAGTCGCAATACGATGTCGGAAAGAGCTGAAGAAAACAAAAAGCAGAAGGATCCATGGACGGTCTACGATGCCAAGGTAAATCTCCGCATAAGTGATTGCCTTGTGATGCTGGAGTGCAGCCCCCAACCGGAGGAGGCATTCCACCCCAACTCCCGGGAATGCCAATGCGCGAGGAAGTGGCTCAATGAACTGACATCTATGAAGTGCGACACGGTGCTGGAGGCGTGCCTACGAAACGGATACATTAGTGCGTTGAGTGTGTGCCTAAACCAGAAGAGCCTGTACGGGATCTTCGAGCAGATGCCACCGGAAGAACTCAATTTGATGGAAATTCTGGACACCTCGACTAATGCGTCATCGAATCATGCATCATTCAGGTCAAATAATGCGTCGAGGCAGCAGTTTGAATCGACGCGGGGACCACAGCGACCCTTTGAGGCAATGAATTTGGAAAATCCTCAGTCTTCAAGCCAACAGCCACGGGAAGCGGTGGTTAGACAACAGCGTTTCATGGAAGAACCGCAAGGACTTATTATAGAACCTCAGATATATAGGACAGAAGAGCCTCAGAGATTCCAGCAGCAGCGGCAGCGATATCAGGAACAGCCACAGAAGGAAACCTTCTATGATCCTGCCACCTTTCCACCAGCGCCCCATGTGCGGCAACAGTCGGGCGCCTACTACAAACCGTCGAGCATGAAATTCGACACCTTCGGGGCGCCCCCTCGCGTCAAGGCGGCAAGTAAAAAAGGAAAAGGGTTCTCCCCATCAGGTGAAGAAGGAGGAGGTGTGACAGCTAAGGATTTGGGCAGTGCCATCAAAGAGGCTCCTCCTGATTCTTATTCTGCTATGCCCACACGTTCGATTCTTAAGCGGAGCTGCTTCAACGAGCAGGCCCCTCATGTTTATCCATCATATCTCAAGACGCCACTATCTTTTAATGACAAACAATACTTTGATGATGGAATTTGTTATAAAAGTCCATTGAAATCCTGTAGAGAGAAATTCGCTAGCCAGAAAGAGTACGCGATCAAGGGATCCAGACAGAAAGAGCAGCAGATCGAGCAACAAAACACTCATGGCTCCCCGACGAATCAGTGGAAACCAGAGGCCGCCGAGGAGGAGTCTGACAGAGAGAAAACCAGTCAAACTGTGATAACAAACCGCTATTGCGACATGACCTTCCTAAGGGAGTGCATTCGTCGCGCGCTGCGCGGTGAAACATCCGAGGGAGCAAACGACTATCTGGATTGTGAGATAGAGAGCTACAAGAAAATCTGCAGTCGATACAGATGCGACGATCCCGAATACAAGGAGAAAATGCTGGGAGGGGATCCTATTGAGCAGAGGACATACCTGTTGCGCAATATGGAAGAGGATTTGACCAATTATGTTCCTTTACTGAGGAAAAGAAAGATGACAATTTAAGAGTTTAAAAGGATTAATGACTAATTTAAAAGATCTCAGGATACAATTAAAATTTATCAAAAATATGCTCATTGTAACCACTGAAACGCATTTAGAACATTTTTGGGGAACAGATAATTGTTATACCCGATACTCAAAATGGGTTGAGGGGTATATTAGATTTATGCTAAAAGTGGACTTGTGTAACGTCCAGAAGGAAGCGTTTCCGACCCCATAAAGCATATATATTCTTGATCAGCATCAAAAGCCGAGTCGATTGAGCCATGTCTGCCTGTCCCTCTGTCCGTCCATCGTGTTTGACGCCTAGTTCTCAGAGATAGAACAACGATATGTCGTATGCAAACTCTTGTGATATCCCACTGAATAAAGTTTGTTTCGAAATTTTGCAACGCCCCTCGTAGAGAATGACCACTTCTCTTCTAGACTGACGAATCTGGAACAGATTGGATTATTATTATAGCAAGAAGGAACAAATACGCGCTTACTCATTCTCTCTCTTACACTGAGTATCGAATTTTCGATGCTCCTACACATATTTCCTTCTCACTTTTGTCATTACAGAGATCATATCATTATCATATGATAGTTTTCGTCATAGAGAATCACTGGAGTAATCCTCGCGGTAAGTCCCTGGCACACCCAGCCCTCGCTCTACTTCTCCATCCTTTGCGAATCTGAGAATATTTTAATAAATCTTACATATAGAAAAACCAGCATGACCCCGCAAGCAGCCTTCTAACCACAGCAGAGCTTTATAAATTGCATAATACCGCAGATGGCATGACAAAAGATGAGCAAAGGTAGACGAAAATGCGGGTTATGCGGAGGGTAAGCCAGTACACAATAGAGCAGAGTTAATCAAAGAGACAGAGAGAGAGAGATAGAGCGAGTGCAAGCACAGACCAAACAAATAAAACATGGAAAGAACGTAAATAACAAACCGCAAAAATGTCAAACAACTTTTAATTAGAAGAGGTGCCACGGCAACAACCAAAGCAAAGGACAGCCAGCACCCAGCCGCTGAATGGAAAACATTCAACCAAGAAATTTGAGAGCCCCCACCCCTCCACTTGTGTGCGAAAAACAAGGCAGCTTTTCCCGGAAGACCCGATAAAAACTAACAGCAAGAAAAATCACAAAATTTGACTAATGACAGGACAAAAGTTTTGCCACACATAAAAGAGAGAAAACGAGACCTGCATGCCCCAAAGGAGTGGCTGAAAAGCACTCAGTAACTAATTTTGGCCACCGAAAAAGATTCCGGGTTTCGTAATTAATTACGAACCACAAAAAAATGCAAGGAAATAGAATAAAAAGAATGAGCATTGCATTGGAGAAAAGGGAAAAGTCAGGGCGACTGGACGACGACTGATAGGAGAATTCTTTGCGGCTTCCGCAGCCACAGCCACCCATCGCATGGAGGAGCACACACTGTGTCTGTGGCCTTGTGGCCATCAGCAGCATTCACTTCACTCTGCATTCGGCTAATGACAAATGACACTTTCAATGACCTTTAATGGTGGGTTGCTTGCCTCCGATAAGAATAATAATAATGGTGGCTTCTTTCAGAGTTCGCGAAGCTCATTACGGGTTGCCATACGGCTTTACAGTTGTGCGATAAGGCTGAGATATGGGGAAACTTTGGTGGGAACCAGCCAGGAGCTTGTTAAACTTTGACTTAAAGAACGAGTCTTTAATGTTTTTAGAAAAAGCATGATTTAAAACGAGAAAAATCATTGAATCATTGCTTTAAAAGGAAGAGCCCTAATCATACTGAAAGCCCATTAAATTAGATTAATTTTCTGAAAACAATCAACCATCAAATCCATGAATAATTCAACAATTTAAATTAATTGAACACTTAAATAGATTCATTTTTTCTTGAAATTCATTTAAATTTTTAGCAAAAAAAATATATCTAGTATTCATTTCTCTCATCAGCATAAATTACTTACAGATCCCAGCATTCACACCAAATACAAGTATTAAAATTCAATCAATTTCGAATGTTTCCTAATTGAAAAACAATATCCTAGCTCTAATTGAAAAGTAATACCAAAATAAAATGCCAAAAAGTCTCCCGATTAACCGAAAGACTTTCATCAACCTATTTTTAATACACAGAAAATATTGTTTCATAAAATTGAAAGATCTCCCCAATTAAAATAAGCTTAGTACTCAGAGCTTATAACTGGCTCTAATTGAAAAATGATATCCCCAATTATTTTTTCGCAAAATACTCTGAATCTCTTAATTCCCCGAAAGAGCTTTCATCAACTAAAATAGACCGCTTCTTCTAATGACCCAAATGCATTGTTCTTGGCTCAACGCTCAGGCTTTCTCTCTCTCTTTCGTCATTAATTACACATCAGAAGCAAATATAAACATTTCTATTCTGGTAGCAAAATCGCCAGCCCATTAGCAAATGTAGATATTTATGCAACAAACTCATTTAGATAGATTATATTGTTGTGTCTATGGATGGAGCACCGAAAACAACTTAATTAGAATATGTACGAGTTTGTGCCCAAAGCAGAACATGCTCGTAGAACAAACAGTTTATATATGCACATAAATGTCTGTACATATTATATGTATAAAACTCATTAGAAACGACAAGAACAAACCACAGAGGCCACCATACCGACGGATGTATATATCTGTGAATCACATAATGCGAAATTTGGTAATTAATTCCATAAATAAAACAGAAAGTAACAGAGAAAGCATATCCTAAAACCCAAAACCAGCATCCGATAGATAGCAATGCGCTGTTGCATGGCAAATGAGCTGTGAATTTAATTTGTACTCGTTCTCGTATT